ATCAAGATAATGTTTGGATTTGGATACATGTATGTAGATCGGTTTAGTACATAAATGGTGTGGTTAAAAAGGAGGTGCTAATTGTATGGGCATAGTATCCGTTACTTTTTAACATGAAGTTCACGTTAGAAGTTCTAACAAGTGGCTCTTTGCTGCTTGATAGTATGCGCTCTTCACAGTATCGAAAGCAAAATTTAACAGAAGGCTGTGACACTCTGTGCACTTTTGTTTCAACTACCAGACACTCTTTCGACATGATAAATCACTTTTCGACTCGAACTGTTTTCATCATTTTTTAGTTCAGCAATGGGTGTTAAATATGGAAGACGTCTGATTTCGCTGTCATTTTGCATCATTATTATCATCATATTTAATAAGAAAAGTTATTTTATTATTTAAAATTATCCATCTCGTCGAAGAGGAGTTGTAGCACACGCAATGAATACTACAATAGGAAGGCGATCTTCTTTGTCACAGCTAGACAAGCACTTAGACATACACAGTGGACGTAAAGATTTGACAATCAGACAACGTCAAGTAATTGACTGGAAAAATAATATTCTCTTTCATTTCTCATACGTACCACAAAATCTGCCACAAATGATCGAAAAGCATTGGGCAAATATTCCAAAATACACCAGTGCCTGAACTATTGTCTTTGATTAACCGAGCATCAAACAACTATTGGTAAAAAAGGAGCCATTGAAACACATATTAACCAGAACTTTAAAACATTGGGAATCTAGACGAAGCCAGAAACCATTATGGAGAAAAAGAGCGTGAATCTACTGCTGACAAATAGTTTGGGGTAAGTCAAGAGTCGCACTGAAGGAAAACACTAAAAATAGGCTTGTTTACATTCTATCTACTCGTCATTTATTTATAGTATTTTATAGATAAAAAATATGTAGACAAAACAAAAGAAAACAAATCATAGTATATAATACTGCATAATCACTAGTCAACCATTCTCTTTTATTCACTTATTAAGACGACCTTCAATAGAAAGCAACTACTAAAAACAAAGAATATTTCCTGGTGAAACAGAAACACATTCAGATACTGTAACGGACAAACATAATTACCATGTCGTGGTTAATGCAGCACTTGACATAATATTTCTAACCTATTTATTGGTAAAATTAATTGAAGGAACAAAAATAAAAAAACTAAAAATGTTACAAAGATTACTTACAGGTTCATCAAATGCATCAGGAGATAAAATGGAGACACCAACAGTTGTTTTCACAGTCCCGATGCCGCCAGCAGGACCATACGAACGACCATATTTACCATCACTATACAAAGCAACAAATCCATTCAGACCAGAGCTGATCACCTGCATAATTTTTCACCCCTGCGCGATACCGCGCGGGGGCAAAATAAAATTTTTCCGCGTTGCAGTTTGCAGGTTACCAAAAAAATCTTTTCTTCTGCACAGGCAGAGGCTGAGGGTGAAAAATTCTGCACTGCCCTGCCCTGCAGGTTGGCTGCAGGTGGACCCT